TCGTCCATGCCGAGTCGCTCTCACGACTGCTTTCCCGACGACAGCGTCCGCAACGAACCGTGTTTCAGGCAGTTTATTGTTCCAAGCTGACGCGACCGAGAGCGAATCGCAATTAATCGTCACTGTTGCGAACAATATCGAGCGAATTCGAATCCTACGTGGTTGTTATCGCTAACCGCGTTTGGGGTTGCACGCTGAAACGTGGTTCGCGTGATCCGAGGCTGGTCGAGCCCCTTTTCGCGACGTTTCAGGATGCAACGACGACGGGGTTGCTAGAATGCGGTTCGCTCGTAAGTTAAACCAGCGATGTTTCGTTTTTCCGGTCTAGACCACACCGGTCCCGCAGTCGAGACACCGATCCGGTCTGTGTCCCCCTTATTTAAATCCACTGCGGTTCTTTTTCGCGAGGTTATTCAGAAGTCCGAGCCGCGATAAATAATTGAACAGACACCTCGGTGAAAAATGGATGTCGCATGATACAAAACTTATTCCGAGACCTTTGAGGAGCTAGAACACTCTCGCTGAATAAATATACGTATTATTAGGGTAGCGGAGTTTTTAACAGCGATCCGGCATGCAAACGGCATTTTGAATGCAATTGGATCTGCCGTGTCGCTGAAAGATCTCGTACTTTAATCCCAGTTTTGCAGATTTTTCGATGCACGGGTGTAATGCGATTAGGGATCAAAGGCAGGAATATCGCGTCGACGCGATGTTACATAAAGCGTTGGAAAAACAGGATCGAGATATTCACGTGGGTCGTCGCTTCTTGCGCGTTCAATTTACACGGCCGGTTATTGGCCAACACTGTAACCTTTATCGTTTACCGCCTCACCTTGTCGCAAATGTAATTTGCTGAAACGATCATTGCGTAATATCGGCTGGAATGAGCTATGCCGCTGGAATGATATTACCCGAACCGACCTAAATCTCGTTACAATTTACCGCGATCATTGCAGGAGCATGGTGTGCCGTCGCTGCACCCAGATGCAACAGATGTCTCGCGAAAAGCCGTGAATGTGTCATCGACTAATGCCATCCAATTAACGCGCTTATCCTAAAAGATTACGTATCGCGGTTCTTTCTCTACGCGTCGATCAATCGAGTATCCAAATACCAAGGTCGGATTCCGTATCGTCGCTTCGCGGTGTCGCGATCGTCACTTCGAGCTAATAATCATCTCCGTGACCGTGATTCCGATTTTCGAGATCGAAATTTCCATCGTGTCGCGACTATCGCGATGAGATGTGGTTTCCGAGTTAAATGCGAGTCCGCGCACCCTTCGAGAGTTGACGAGGAAGATGGGGGTCGACCGACGACGCGTCTGCACGGCAATGGCGAATCATAATCGGGAAGTATGCAGTCGGCGAGCGACGAAAACGTGTTCGACAAGTTCTCGCGCGTGCTCTATTCTCTAACGCGACTCGTGACACGAGATCTCTAGCCCCTAGCTAGGCCTAGAGTTATTCGGTCCGCGTCGTTATGCGGCCAGGGAATCGGGGTGAAATCCACTCGGCGGCGAAAGCACCGGAAGCGTACAAAGAGAAACACGTTTGCACGGCGAAGTTGAGCGACGTGATGCTTGCAAGCTGGAATTCGCCGCGTAGGCGAACATTAAACTGGGAAGCTAATTAATTCGAGACGAGGAAAAATGAACAGCGATGCTCCGAACGAACGCTATTGCAATTACGCGCCGAGCATGTTGCGGGACGTTCTCCAAACAGATGGCAAAACGCGAATACCACAAATATTTCCGCTGCTACGAATTTTTATCATTTAATCCCGCGCGATGGAAGTTTCAACCGAGAACATTTCGAATTTGCGCACAGCCGGCGTCGTTAGCGGTCGAGCTACAAAGCGTCGGATAGAATAAATATAATTAGAATAAGAAACCCGTAAACGTGTTATCTTATCCCCACCGTATTCGACGTCCTCGAGAAACTTGTTCCGAGTTCCGGCCTCACGATAATAGCTGCCGCGATCATCGCGCGAAAACTTTCCGAGGGTCTTTTGGGTCGTGTTTTCACGCGGACGAGTCCGGAACCAGTTGTTTGTATCTCGAAATTCTCCCCAACTTCTTCATACCCAATTATTAGCGCGGCTTTGCGAAGAACTTGGGGTTTTGACGCAAACGATTTTTAAGTTTCCGTCGCGATTCTGTAGATTTTCGCGCGAGACGGGCACACCCTGGAAAATCTCGAAATCGGTCTTACGATTAAAAATATAAGTGCTCGCAGCTATCAGCTGCGGCTGATACGCTTTTCCCGAATATGAGTTTAGGATTTACGGCAAATTCGCATGCTAGGTATCTGCACTAGACGCGGTCGTTCGCTCCCATGATTTCGACCGCAAACTAGTGTTCTTCGTACGAGAACAACAGATAGAGATTCTCCGATATTCTCCGCTTTCCGTGCGTACTTTGGCATTAAAATATTTCCGCGAATATTCGGGAATTGTTCGAAAATATCACCGAGGGTTTTGGAGGGTGTACCAAGAAATCGCGCGACAGCCATGAGACAGGGGGTTCGCAAAGCGTTATCGAATCACTCGGAGAAAACATTCGGCGATTTGAATAGAGGAAAGTTTCTATTGGCGAATATAGGCAAAGTTTATCGAAACACTTGACTCGTACTCCGCGTGTTCCACCTTTCAACGAAATAGTATTTCGGGGTCTCCAATTTTACCGGGAACGCAACGCCGCAGCGTCGCTGTCGACCCCCCGTCCTCCGGATCTTCTCTCCACCGAATTCGAAGACGCAACGAAACTGCGGGATAAATTTAGAGAGTGAAATCTTGGAGGAGAAATGGCGACTAATCTCGCGAGCGGAAACTGCCTTGGAGGACGTAATAGAGGAGAGAGATTTTTTCGGGTTTTTCGATGGAAAGCAAAGCTGACCTAAAATAACAATGCTCGGCCATAGATTCTCCCGACGGTCGTATATCTTCGTGGTTGGGAACGGAATGGTGGTGAATCTGGCGTATGAAATCGAATGGCGATGGCCGAGATACGCAGCGTTAAAGCCGGCACGCGTGCGAGGAAGCGTTCGCGAGGATCCAGTGCCGAAGTCACGGTCTGAAAGGACTTTGGTAAATAGCACAATCTACCGCGCCATTTCCGACACCTGACGGAACAGTTGCCCAGATAAGGCCGAAGGGAAATGAGGAAACATCGACGTGTATGGAGAACGTGCCGAAATGTTGGCAAGCTTTCGTGTCTCCGAGAGAGGGCTTCGAGGGAAGAAAAGTCTCAGCATCCGGAAGTTTTAACGAAGAGAGAATAAGGACGTGTTCTTTATACGAACAACCGTGCGATGAGTTTAATAAGGGTGAAATTCGTTGTCGCCTAGTAGACGATAGACGGGTGTCGAAACGTTATTAAAACAAGTATAAAGCACGATGTCGCGCGCGCACACCTTGCTCCACAACCAGAGTAACTATACTTGTAAATACATTTTACGGTGGCACAGAGAGCTGTGGATATTTACCGTCTTGCTTGTCTTACGTTAATTTCGTTCCTGTGTACACGAAAGCGATAACCCTCTCCTTTATCATCTCCGTTGCGTCATTTCAGCCAGGGAATTAAATCGGGAATGAGTTTCGAAAGAGCGTTGCCGACGAAGAAATCGTTCCGAAATTTGACCTTCGACGGGACATCGAAATTTCGCTCCCCGTTGGAACGCTATACCGTGACACCCAAAACGTTCTACGGGGTATGATTGACATTCGGATACGCAACCGAGGTACATCGGTGGCTGTGAAAATCTGCGTGGGAAGATTGGGGGATACATTACGGCGTGTAATGCTGCGAGAATGCATCATCCACACTGTCGAGAGCAATAGCATTAATATCGCATCATGGTCGCGTTCCCCAGCCCGGCAAAGTGTTCCCGATGCGAAGGTAATCGAAGCATTGGTATACGAAGGCCACTGTTTTTATATTTTCAACGGAGAAAGCGCGTTCTGCTAGCAGAATAGGATTCAGCGAGGCGAAACTGCGTGTACCAGGAAGTGGCGAGTTTCATTAGGATTCGCTCAAGTTTCCAGCCAGAGACAATGTCTACGAGTTAATATTCTACGAAGCTGTGCCGTTTAGGTAATTCACGTGTCGCCCAGAAGAGTTTGAGAAAGTTTTCTGCATAGCTCGCCCGGTCAAAGCACCGGTGTTTTCACTCACGCCTATGCGGGTGCGATGGTACACTTCGTCGAGCTGTGTAACAAATTACAGAACCTCTTTTCACTCGAAGGGCTACTGAAAGACGGGTAGAACGACGTCTGCGAAAGAGTAGCGGGATTCTTTGACTATTCGCCAACTACTTCCAACTCTGACCTGCTTTGTCGAAAAGCTCGTATAATTTTAAGAGCTTCCCTGCTCGACGCTGTATTTTAACTAATTGCAAGGAGCAGTCGCATCTCGCGATTGGTCGATTTTAATCAAATTTTATCCGTCGATTCTAAGGCGAAAATTAGTTGATACCCGTTATTTACGTAGATATTTAAACGTTGTAACTTCCTATCTACAGACACGACTGTTTTCTTAGCACCGTAACCAGTGACGTGGCAGCAAAGTTGGTAATGCAATGGATTCTTACGCGGCAGTTTCAGCAATTCGAATTCTACGACTGGAGGAACTTTCCCTCGTATTATCTTCGCTTTTGTTTCCCTCTCCTTCTAGTTTTCCTGTTCGTTACATAGAACGCCGAGTTTTACGTTTCTGTAATACCAAGTCGAACTAAATTCACCGGTTCCTAATCGAGTTTGCTCGTTATACTATAATTTATACTTTTCATATTTTCATAACGCGTGTCGCAATCGTGATTAATGTTCCTTTGCGAAATATTACTCGGAAAAAGTCGTAACGTTCGAGGTCGTACGTTTCGTATTTAAATTGTTCCCGATACTCGAAATAAACGCGCGACGACGGTGATTATAGAAATTTAAAAGACAGTAAAAGGTATAAAAATAAAAGAAAAAGAGAAGAAGCTCGCGGTCGGAAAGCTTACCTGGACATTAGCCTCGGGAAAGAGAAGAGCGCGGCGACTCGGTTTACAGATGAAAACCGAGTCGGGTGGAAACGCGGGAAAGCTGGGAGCGGGCTGTGGTAGATCCGCCGGTAACTCGCGATTCTCCGTCGGTGGTTCGATCCGTCAGACTCGGTGGGCTGTTCGCGCCGAGTTCAACGAGGACGGCTGAACAGGCGGTGCGTGCGATTGCATCGGAGGTGGCAGGTGAACGTGGCTCCTGGGTAGACCGACTCGCTTCCAGACGAACACAGCGTTGCGGACGAGCTAGCTCTGTCCGGAACTTCGGTACCGTGCAGGGTACTATCCTCGATGCTTTCGGTCGGCGTCTGCGCTCTTGTAACCTTCCGACCTTCTCTGCCATCTATACACCCCCACCGAGTGCCCAGCGTATTTTAAACTGCAGCCGTGCTAGCTGCTCGTCTCGCTCCCTCTCTCGCATTCGCCTCCGCTCCCTCTCTCTCTCACCTTCCCTCTATCCTTCCCACTCCTAGCGCACCTGACCCCCTACCAGCGCGGGAGCACCTGATGCTGCACCTGAGGTAGTAGGGTTAACGCTTCTGCTCCCAACTTCGGGTGGACACCAGGCAGAATAACCTGCGGACCACCGACCGAGGTGCTGCGTTTGTGTTTGTCGCGCAGATGTTAATTACTGCCGTTCATCGAGTGTTTCGCGAATATTTGCACGAAACTCGCGAAACGTGCTTATGGTCGTCGCGTAGATTATTTGGAAAAGATTATGTCGTCGGGCTCGATGGTGTAAAGGGTGGCACGCGATTCCCGATGGAAAGGGACATTTTACACGCGTGTTTCAGGCCTCTGAATAATTCGCCAGACCTGCCACTTTCGTCGCCTCTGAGCCTCACTTTGCTCCTCGAGATGTTTACGCGGGATTTAATAATTATAGGCTTCTTGGTTATTTAATTAGCCTTCGTTTATGGTTCATTGGTCAAATTGTTATCGCGGGAATTTTTCATTTTCTTCCACCTGTTCGGTACACTCTTCTATGTCCTGGTTGTTTAATGCGATATTACAACGTTGGCTTTAATATCGTTTCCTTTAAAAGATAGAGATGCCCCGGTTTTTCCTTCTCGCCCTTTCCTCCCTTGATAATATACCCCCGGCGCCGACGATGTTTCCGCTGGAATCTTTCTTCTTACGAATTTTCACTGCCGGCAAAGGTTTCGGAGTCTGCCTCGCAAAGATATACGCGTCGCGATCTCTGGAATTACGTTTCCAAAGAAATCCTGACGGAGTAGCGGAGATGGAACGTTTGTTTACTATGAATTTAGAGGAGGCTCCGATTCGCGAAAGGGAATAGACAAATATCGCTATCATTTTCATGCGAAGAAGTCGTTTATCGAGCAGGCTCGGTAAAGGAGACGTACAGACTTGCTCGGTCTTATCGAGATTCTTCGAATACCGGGAAACTCGTCAGTATTACGTTACCCTTGTACACATTCGTCGAATAACGCATTCGAGTTTTATCGATTCTCGAGTAGGATACTTCCTGCGATCATCGTCTGAAACGCGATAAGGTCAACGTTTGCAGGCTTAAATGAAATTCAGCCCGTGTCTCGCGACGACTCCGTCTCGACGCAGCTACTGCTCCATTTACGTACACGAACTAATCAAACTTGGATCTCTTCGCTGATCGTGAAACGTGTCCATCGCCGTTGCCGAAGGACCCATAAACCCGAACGATCTTCGCCGATAATTTTATTCGATTTTCCAAACTTACGTTGGCCGAAATTCGTCATCAGGGTCGGAGATCTCGGGCTTGGAGCTCGCGCCAGGTGTTCCTCGCGTCCCATGATCAGAGTAGTTACCGCTTCCTCGGCGTTCCTCGAGCTGGTCGGCATCGATGCACCTGATGCACGGGGTCAATGTTTGCGCGAGCAACTTGGATGAGATCGAAGTTACTTCCCGGGCCCGGTATTAGGTGGATGCAACGACTAGGCGTAGCTCGAGCAGGCGAGAGGCGAACGACGCCGCGATGGTCATTCAATTTTACCAGTTCGTCGAAAGTTTTCCAATTTTACGTCTGCCAGCGACGGATCAACCGACTCGTACGCTCTCTGCCACTTTTTACCCGGCAAGTTACGCCGCTCTACACTCTCTCTTTCGTCTCTGTTTGTTTTGAAAACTGATCCGAGGGAAAAATGTACCCTTTCGCCGGTGTAGTCCGTTTTGTTTCGTCCCTCGTTAGCCACCCCTTTGTGCCGCCCTTCTAACGGGATCAAGCTTTGAAAATTTATCCCGTGTCCTAGCAGAAGGAAGCAATAGGACTCGAGGAAGAATCGCGACCACGTTCTCGACAGCCGAATCACTTGGACAGGCAACGACCGAGATCGAGGCGACTTGTTTTCGCCGTAGTGCCCAGTAGAGAAGTCGACGTCGACAAATATCGTCGATCCACTTTGCAGAGGAGCGCCGGATTTCCTTTGCGCTTTTTGACCCGTTTCTTGCGCGGTTGTCTCGACGCGGCCGACCGCGTACGGACCTTTACTACTTGAACTCCGAGATGAAGCACGGTTCCGAGACCACTCTCGATTTAAAACGCGATCTCTTTCCTCGATGGGGTTTTACCAGACTCGAGACGAGACGATGAGTGCCTCGAGACTCGTGTAGGTCGATAAACGTGAATTATGCAGTCGCAAATGAATCGTCGATTACCGAGATTTAATAAACTTTAGAAATTTTTCGTTTTAAGCTTCGTTCGGGTATCGGCTAAATTAACGTCGTCGATATGATCATTGCTTTTCGTGGAACGAGTGAATTATTTTTTCTTTCTTTTCCCTCGAGGAACGTCACAGAGGTAACCATTTATTTTTCGACCGATAAATAGGTAATTATAACGAAATATCAATTAACTCGTATACACTATTGGCTGTCGGGGTTGTCGCAACGCGAGGATATTAATTGCGAAATTTATGGTCCGGTGCGATTGCCAATTGCCTCGAGCGTTTCTTCCAGCGCGCTCTTTTCCGGCAATTAACGAAGAAATAATTGTCCGTTTCTTTATCGAACGTTGATCGATTTCTTCGTCGCGTTAAAGCGTATTCTCGATCGCGAATACCCTCCGTGGTGGGATAATTATTCCGGTTACCCTGATCAAAGTTTCCGACTGACGATTTGATCTTGGTTAATGAAACGGGCAAACAGGAACGCGCGATAAAACTGCACACGCGCGTCAACTTCGGGATTTCCAAACGCGGGCAAATACGTGTAAACAGCGACGAACAAACACATTCGACGAGCCGTTAAAACGCGTAAAAATACTCGACAGAGACACAGCGATGGACCGGCGAGATGATTCAAATCGAATAAAAGTCTAAATATTTCGCGAAAAATCCGACGATCGAGGTGGTCAGCCGCGATTGTCTTCCGTAAATCCCGGGAAATGGCAACGCGTCGCGGCGCGTTCATGCTGGAAAACAGGGTCAGGTATATCCGTGGCGGAAAAGCCTGGCGAATGGTCGAGGACGATGGAGAACCGACGGCTCGGGCGTTGGAATTACGACGAAATAAAATTTCGAACGCGTTCGTCGACCGTTCGACCGTGCAAGTCCGAGCTGCACGAAATTCCAGCGAGACGAGAAATTCCCGGATATCGGCGTGAGACGATCCGAATTTCTCCAAGGCGGCGAGAATCGCACGCCCTTAAGATAATTTCGAACGCTGTCTGCCCGTTTCACGCGTCCAGCCGACACGCCTTCATCTCCGGAAGGGAAGCGTGAATAATTCATCTCGATGGGACCCTAGTCGGTACCTCCGGTTTCGCCGGCCTGTTCCTGCCGGCTAGTTCCGCACTGTCTCCCCGTGAAAGACGATTAGGCGATGGAGGAGAACCGGAGGAACTTTATTTCCCGCGGCTTACAGCCTTCGTCCCTCGTCGTAATTCCATCGCGATCGGACGGCAAGTGTCAAGATCAATGATAACTAAAACGTTAAGTAGCACACAGCTAATTTTACGACCTAGGCTCACATCGTCTGCGCTTCGTTTAGAGATTATAAGCACTCCGGGACGAAGGACGATCGCGTAGTTGTAGAGCATTAGCTGGTAATAGGTTACGAGCCGTTCGCGTATAACCAATAGCCAATCCTCGAGCTACCATTGGATCTTCGAAACATCGCTCGGTTGGCTGAAAAGGATCCGTTTCGATGCGCGGAATGCTTTCGAATAGATCGGGATCGAACGATAGAGACCGGGATCTCCAAGCGAGCGCAAAAACTGACGCGAATGCTCGACTTGCATGTTTTTCCAGGGAAATTGAAAAACTCCACGCGCTTTTGCCCCTTTTTTCGTTCACCACGAGTGCTCTTCCGTTTCGTCCGTCTCGCGATACGTGACAATTTTTACGTAACGCGTCCTTCGTTTCCGATCACGCGAAAAGCCTGTTCGTGGTAGCAGTCGTCTCTCGGACGTCGAATGGCCTGTGCGTGTCGCTTGAAAGACGTCCTGATCAATGGACCTTGAACTCTTTTCGCGATAAGCCATAGAAGCGTGATGCAATCGAAGGTGCTCGTCTCTTCAGCGATCGCCAAGTTTCAAGCTCAAAGGAACGTCTCTTTAAACACCCTTGTCACCCTAAGACGATGCAACACCTCGTCCAAGTCCATAAGTTTCTCGAGCCATCGAGTTCGTTAATGGAATTTAATCGTCCGACTGAAACCCACGGACGTAATCAAGTCAGGTTTTAATAGGCTTTAACCGTTTAACGTCTATCGGGAGATCACTCGTCTTTAATCCCACGCAGGATCACAGACGAAAATGTTATTCGCCGCATTAATTTACACATTTTGTCGTGCCCGGTGAGATACGCTCGGTCGGTATGCCTTTCATCCCGCAGACAGGCTGATGAAACCGAAACGCGACAGAACGGAATTTCCAATCTCCTCTCATCTTCGGGTGAAATCAAGCCTCGAAAAGCGGCACCGGTATGCGACGGACTCGCAAGCTTGTCAGTCGGTCGCGCGCACCCGTCGCTCCCGAACCCCGATGTCTCGCCGGATTCTTGCTAAATATTTCTCAG